AAGTCAACTTCAAACTCAGTTTTTCGAAAAACTTGAGCTAGAACTATTGCCGTTCCTCTTTTCGAATCAGCTTCTCGAAATCTACTTCCCAGAATTTTTTGAGAATTTTTAGGTAATTTTTAAAAGATCTCAATTTTTCAGTAGTCAATTTTTTTACTATTTTTCAACAATTTTTCCAGTATTGATAAAAGGAAAAATAAAAATCTTTAAGAAAAAAAAAAATCATTTACAAATCGAATGTTTTGAAATTTGGTCTGGAACCATTAGCACTTTATATTTTCCGAATCAGCCTATCGAGCTATCGAGAGGAATAAAATTCCAGAATTTTTTGAGGTTTCTTGGACAAATTTTCGGGATCTCCCATATGAATTTTTTGACCTTTTTTCGAGCAGTTTTCGAAAATTAACCAAAGACATTTTCTTGTAGATTCCAACTTGTAGAAGCTATTTTTGATTTAATTTCTCCGAAAATTTCAACAGCTTTTCCAAAAACAGTAAAATAAAATATGGAAAATTTCGAGATAGAAACAAATTCATTTTCAAATCCAATTTTTTGAAAAACTTGGTCCAGAACCATTATCATTTTATGTTTTTCGAATCAGCTCGTCGAGATCTGCTTTCCAGCATTTTTTGACAACTTTTAGTTTATTTTCAAAAATCTCAGTTTTCAGAAACAAGGTTTTTGACCGATTTTCGAGCACCCTTCGAAAATTACCGAAAGACATTTTCTTATAGATTTCAATTTGTAGAAATCATTTTCGGCTTCATTTCTTGAAAACTCCAACAATTTTTCCAGAAACAGTAAAATGAAAAATGACGATTTTGGAGAGAAAAATCCATTTTCAAACCCAATTTTTCGAAAAACTTTGTCTGTAACCACTAACAATTTATGTTTTTACTTGACAGAAATTTTTAAGAATTTTTGGACTATTTTTCGAAAATCAATTTTTTACCATTTTTATAAAATCCTTGTAAATTTACCGAAAGACATTTTCTTACAAATGTCAAAGTGTAGAAGTTATTTTCGTTTCATTTCTTAGAAAATTCCATTGATTTTTCCAGAATCAATAAAATTAAAACTGCATATTTTGAAAACCTTGATCCGGAACCATTAATACATAACGCTGTTTTTTCGAAACAAGAGCTATTTCTCAGATTTTTTTAGGATTTTTAGACAACTTTTCGAAAATTACCCAAAGACATTTTCGTTAAGATTCAGTTTGTACAAGTTCCTCATTTCCTCGAAAATTTTCCCAAAATCAATAAAATGAAAAATAAAAATTTTCGAAATTAAAAGTCACCTTAAAACCGAATTTTTCAAAAAATTTTATCCAGACTCATTAACAGTTTACGTTTTTTCCAATCAGCTCATTGAGGTCCGTTTCTCAGAATTTTTTGAGAATTTTTAGGAAATTTGTTGTTTTTCGAATCAGCTCGTCGAGATCTACTTCCCAGAATTTTTTGAGGATTTTTAGGCAACTTTTCAAAAATCATTTTTTTTTAACCATTTTTAGAGCACCTTCCGAAAATTACCCCAACACATTTTCGTAAAGATTTCAGCTTGTAGAAGTTATTTTCGGCTTCATTTCTTCGAAAATTTCAACAAATTTTCCAGAATCAATAAAATTGAAAAACGAAAATTTTCTAGATAAAAAAATGATTTTCAAACTGAATTTTTCGAAAAATCTGGTCCAGAATCATTAACACTTTACGTTTTTCGAAGCAGCTCGTCGGAGTCCATTTCTCAGAATTTTTTGAGAATTTTTAGGAAATTTTCAGAAATCACAATTTTTCAAAAATTCATTTTTTGCCCGTTTTCCTAGCAGCTATTGAAAATTACCAAAGACATTTTCTGGTAGATTTCAATTTATAGAAGCTATTTTCGATTTCATTTCTTGCAAAAATTCAAACAATTTTTCCAGAATTAATTAAATTAAAATAAGAATTTTATAGAGATTAAAAAAACTGAATCAGTATATTTTGAAAACCTTGGTTTGGAATTATTAATACGTTATGTTTTTTCGAATCAGCTCGTCGAGATCTATTTCCCAGAATTTTTTGAGGATTTTTAGGCAACTTTTCAAAGATCTCGAGTCTTCAAAAATCATTTTTTTTAACCATTTTTAGAGAACCTTTCGAAAATTACTGGAACATATTTTCGTAAAGATTTCAGCTTGCAGAAGTTATTTTCGGCTTCATTTCTTCGAAAATGTCAACAAATTTTCCAGAATCAATAAAATTGAAAAACGAAAATTTTCGAAATAAAAATGATTTTCAAACTGAATTTTTCGAAAAATCTGTTCCAGAATCATTAACAGTACGTTTTTCGAAGCAGCTCAGCGGAGTCCATTTCCCAGAATTTTTTGAGAATTTTTAGGAAATTTTTCAGATCACAATTTTTCAAAAATTCATTTTTTGTCCGTTTTTCTAGCAGCTTTTGAAAATTACCAAAGACATTTTCTTATAGATTTCAATTTATAGAAGTTATGTTCGATTTCATTTCTTAGAAAATTCCAACAATTTTTCCAGAAAGAAAGCTGAAATTAAAATATCAATTTTAGAGATGAAAAAAACTGAAACCGTATATTTTGAAAACCTTGGTTTGAAATTATTAACGCGTTATGTAGCTCGTCGAGATCTACTTCCCAGAATTTTTTGAGGATTTTTAGGCAACTATTCAAAGATCTCGAGTCTTCAAAAATCATTTTTTTTAACCATTTTTAAGAACCTTTCGAAAATTACCTGAACACATTTTCGTAAAGATTTCGGCTTGTACAAGTTATTTTCGGCTTCATTTCTTCGAAAATTTCAACAAATTTTCCAGAATCAATAAAATTGAAAAATGAAAATTTTTGAGATAAAAAAATTGAAACCGTACCTATATTTTGAAAACCTTGATTTGTAATTATTAATACGTTATGTTTTTTCGAATCAGCTCGTCAAGATATATCTATAATACTTCTCACAATTTTTTGAGGATTTCTAGGTAACTCCAAACATCTCAATTGTTCAAAAATCATTTTTTTCCATTTTTAGAGCACCCTTCGAAAATCATACCCAAAGACATTTTCGTAAACATATCAACTTGTAGAAGTTATTTTCAGCTTCATTTCTTCGAAAATTTCAATAAATTTTCCAGAATCAATAAAATTGAAACATGACAATTTTCAAGACAAAAAATGATTTTCAAACCGAATTTTTCGAAAAATCTTGTCCAGAATCATTAACACTTTACGTTTTTCGAAGCAGCTCGTCGGAGTCCATTTCTCAGAATTTTTTGAGAATTTTTAGTAAATTTTTCAGATCATAATTTTTCAAAAATTCATTTTTTGCCGCTTTTCTAGCAGTTTATGAAAATTACCAAAAACATTTTCTGATAGACTTCAATTTATAGAAGATATTTTCGATTTCATTTCTTAGAAAATTGAAACAATTTTTCCAGAATCAATTAAATTAAAATAACAATTTTTGAGATAAAAAAATTGAAACCGTACCTATATTTTGAAAACCTTGATTTGTAATTATTAATTCGTTATGTTTTTTCGAATCAGCTCGTCGAGATATATCTATAATACTTCTCACAATTTTTTGAGGATTTTTAGGTAACCTTTCAAACATCTCAATTGTTCAAAAATCATTTTTTTCCATTTTTAGAGCACCCTTCGAAAATCATACCCAAAGACATTTTCGTAAACATATCAACTTGTAGAAGTTATTTTCAGCTTCATTTCTTCGAAAATTTCAATAAATTTTCCAGAATCAATAAAATTGAAAGATGAAAATTTTCGAGATAAAAAATGATTTTCAAACCGAATTTTTCGAAAAATCTGGTCCAGAATCATTAACACTTTACGTTTTTCGAAACAGCTCGTCGGGGTTCATTTCCTAATTGTTTTTGAGAATTTTCAGGCAATGTTTAAAAAATCTCTGTAGAAGCTATTTTCAATTTTTCGAAAATTCTAACACTTTTTCTGGAATTGATAAAATGAGAAATGAAAACTTTCGAGATTAAAATAACAATAATAAATTTATCGAATTTTTCAAAACTTTGTTTGAGACCCATTAACAATTTATGTTTTTCGATCAAGTCAACTTTCCATATTTTTTGAGAATTTTTTGGTAATTTGTCAAAAAAAATCTACGTATTTTTTACAGATTTCGAACAGAATTATGATAATCTTTAGAGACACAATGAAAACTGAAGAGGTAATTTTTAACAAATACATATATAAATCAACGTTTTGAAGAGTTAAGAATAGTTAAAAAAATCTTGAAAAAACTTAACAAAAATATAAAACGACCATACAGTGAAAATAAGAAAATGAGAAACTAGAAGACAACTAAAAGAGAACTAAAATAATTTTTTAAACAATGGCGATAGTGGTAACAGATGTCACTAAATATAAATTTAGTGTTAAAAATTGCATATAATTTGCTTCCAAATAACAAGTTAATAGTACTTTTATTTTAAAGAAAAGCACTGCGAAAGCTTACTTTTCTGGTTACTTTAACATGCTTGCTATTGCACGCTACAACACTGTTATATACTAAGGTCACGCCACCATATATGTATACAGTGATAGTTCGTTACAAGTTTAGTTTTTAAAGTCGCAGCTTCAAGAATTTCCTCTAAGTACGTCTACATCCTTTCCCGAAGCTTTATTTTAAGCGTCTATTTCGCAAATTCGATGACGACACCAGTGCAAACTGTGACTAATAACCCAGTGGGTGCAACACTGCCATGTGGCGCTTCGGCACCCCGGAGTCGAAATTCGTGTTCCGAGTCGTTTTCGCGGCTTCCCGTGCCAGCACAGCGCGAATCACTCGCAAGCCACCCCCATCTCCGTCCCGGAAACGGCGTCCACAACCTCCTTGCACAGCACTGCATCGAAAATAAAAACCGTCGTCTCCACGAGCGCGTGTTGCGGGGCTCGGTGGGGACATCCCACACCCAACACATGCACCGCTCCCGCGCGACTTAGTCCGACTCCGGTCCGCTCGAAAGACGTGCACTCCGCCGCCGGCAGCATCGCCATTCCGCGGTTTCGACCACCAGAGCCCGACTGGCCGCGCACCATTTAATATCACTGAAATTTACGGCCCCGACATTTGTATATAAAACCAGTAAATTGTGTACGATTTCGTCGCGTGTTTGTATATAAACTGTGTATACAATATTTGTGTATACAACTCGTTACGAGTATCAAATGTTTGTAATATAAAGACGGAGATTAAATTGTTTAGCTTAGCGCGTAAATGTTTAAAGTATGATGAATAAGGAGCAGTTGTCTGAAGTGAGCGCTTCCAGCGGCCAGGTCGCGCCGCCGATCCACCAGGGGATCAACATCCAGCAGCATCTGCACCACCTCCACCTGCACCAGAACCACGCCAGCGTGATCCTGCCCAACGAGGCGGGGCAGCAGCAGCATGTGGCCCCGGAGAGCACGGCGCCGGACCTGGACGCGAAGCCCTCGAGCTCGGACAAGAAGTCCGGGATCCGGAGGCAGGAGAAACCGCCGTATTCGTACATCGCGCTCATCGTGATGGCCATCCAGCACTCGCCGACGAAGAGGCTGACGCTGAGCGAAATCTACTCCTTCCTGCAGCAGAGGTTCCCGTTCTTCCGGGGCTCCTACCAGGGATGGAAAAATTCGGTAGGTTGGCGGCGACGAGTGAAACGGTGTAGTGTAATTAAGTGTAATTAGCATTCGTTCATGTTTTTCTTAGTTTTTCTAAAGCAAAATCTGGCAAAAGTCCCTTTATCTCACGGCGTGTTTTAACACATTTATCGTATGTGTTCGAAAGGTTGCGTTAGTTACATACATATGGTACTAAAAAAAAATTATTACTTTACAGGGTGATAAAGTTTGGTTTTCCGCCATGGGAAGCTCCAAATTCATATCTGTATTTTCGTTGCTTCAGTTTCATAAAAAATATTTTCCCTAAAATTTAAAAATTTCTAGAGATTTCTATAAAAAAATACCTTATTTGATGTTATTTTAATTATATTCTATTGCTGAATTTGATATCTCAATTTAATGGTACAGATGAAACCATACAAATTTTGCTCATTCCTTTCATAATCATCAGTTATTATTTGCTAATATTATTACGGAATCAACGAGTTTATGCGATAATTTAATTAACTCTTAGTTTTATGAAAGGAATCAAGAAGTTCTATTTATAAATAAGATTTCAGATAACGTAATCAAGACTGGGTTTTAGGACCGCACTTATTGACGCTTTATACAGCCGATACCTCTAACACGTGATCGGACACTATACTCTTCAAGTTCTGTTTTTTTTTTTTCAAAATTTCGTAATATTGAAAGAACAGATCGTAAGAATGCGACCAAAATTTTGTCAAAGTGTTTTACAAAAAAATAAAATCTGAAATTTAATTTAAAACGGCAAATATTTATGGCAAAAACACTTGGTACTAAAAGTTCTTTAAATTTATTGTGCACTTAACCTTATTTTATTTTGTTTTATTCATTGAACTAAAGTAAGGTACTTGGTGCGTTAAGTGACGCTTACACTGCTACAGGTTGGCCAAGACAGCCTGGGAAATAGTAAATCAAATAGTGTTTGTCTTATTTTGGAACTTTGTCAAGCACCAACGTTGCAAAAAAACATGTTTAGCCTTCTCGATTCGTTGTTTATCTCGATTTGCATTTTTAAGAAAACATTAAATTTTTAGAATGATTGGTCTCCCGTTTCCGTCTGTCTGCTTTTCAGTGTTGCTTTTAATATAATTTTCGAAACTGAGAGCATCCAAATTTTATGAAATCGCTATTGATAATGTTAAAGTGCTAACGTAAAGGCCGGTGGTCCGATCAAATCAAGAATTATTCGCCCCATTTTCTCGAAATTTTACTTATCCAAACTAATATCCAGAACTTTTTGAGAAGACAAAATCATTTGTATTCGTTAGAATGTAGGCACATACTTCAGGGGCGAGGAAAGTTCTGTCTAAATAATTTTAGATCAATTTTTAAAAACGTTTTCGCCTCAGAAAAATATTCATTCTACACAAAATAAGCAAAATATTTTGACTCCATACTTGTGGTTTATCAATGCATTTATTATTTTTATACAGGGTGAAATAGAAAATAAGTCATGAACTAAAGTTGTACAGTTCTCTGAGGACTATACCATAAAAAAAAATTTAACTATTCGTATTGATATGTTTTAAGGCGTAAAATACAAGATAGTTTTTTAAATGAAACACCCTATATTTTTACATATTTTGAACATTTTTGAAATTTGTTTAGCAATGGAAGGGTTCACAAAAAAATCACAATACTAAAAGAGTTATTTTTAAAGTCTGTCTGATAATATTTTGTGGAATGATAAATAAAGGTACGTGGTTTGTTGTGGTATCAACTAAGTCTTATTTCAATATACAGAGTGATTAAAAAAAAATCTAAAACTACAATTTTTAAGTATCGATATTTCACTAGTATTTTTTGTCCTCGTTCTTCTTATATGTCGATGCGTCTCTTAAAAAAGTACTAAATCAACTTTAAATATAGAAAGAGAACAAAAAACACAATAAGATGTAATACTAAAATATAGGGTGTTCTATTTGAAAAAACGGACACATAGATATTTGAAAATTGTGTTATTTAAAACATTTTTATAAACACTCTGTATACGAATCTTTAATCTCATTTATACCACAATAAAGCGCATACTTTTCTTTATCTCTCCACAAAATATGGTAACACGGATTTTAAAAATAAGCCTTCTGTGATTGTTTTGTGAACGCTTCAATTGTTAAATAAATTCAAAGAGAACAAAAATACAATAAGATGTAATACTAAAATATAGGGTGTTCTATTTGAAAAAACGGACACATAGATATTTGAAAATTGTATTATTTAAAACATTTTTATAAACACTCTGTATATGAATCTTTAATCTCGTTTACACCACAATAAAGCGCATACTTTTCTTTATCTCTCCACAAAATATATTAACACAGATTTTGAAAATAAGCCTTCTGTGATTTTTTTGTGAACGCTGCCATTGCTAAAAAATTTCATAGGAACAAAAAATACAATAAGATGTAATACTAAAATATAGGGTGTTCTATTTGAAAAAACGGACACATCGATATTTGAAAATTGTATTATTTAAAACATTTTTTATTAACACTCTGTATATGAATCTTTAATCTCGTTTATACCACAATAAAGCGCATAGTTTTCTTTATCTCTCCACAAAATATGGTAACACAGATTTTAAAAATAAGCCTTCTGTGATTTTTTTGTGAACGCTTCCATTGCTAAAAAATTTCAAAGAGAACAAAAAATACAATAAGATGTAATACTAAAATATAGGGTGTCCTATTTGAAAAAACGGACACATCGATATTTGAAAATTGTATTATTTAAAACATTTTTATAAACACTCTGTATATGAATCTTTAATCTCGTTTATACCACAATAAAGCGCATACTTTTCTTTATCTCTCCACAAAATATGGTAACACAGATTTTGAAAATAAGCCTTCTGAGATTTTTTTGTGAACGCTTCCATTGCTAAAAAATTTCAAAGAGAACAAAAAATACAATAAGATGTAATACTAAAATATAGGGTGTTCTATTTGAATAAACGGACACATCGATATTTGAAAATTGTATTATTTAAAACATTTTTATAAACACTCTGTATATGAATCTTTAATCTCATTTATACCACAATAAAGCGCATAGTTTTCTTTATCTCTCCACAAAATATGGTAACACAGATTTTAAAAATAAGCCTTCTGTGATTTTTTGTTAACGCTTCCATTGCTAAAAAGTTTCGAGAAAATTTGAATAACGTGGAATCATAACTTCAAAAATAAATTAAGGTCAATCAAAATATGTAAAGATATATAGGGTGTTTCATTGAAAAAAAAAAAAAAAAACTAAAAAGCGAAACATCGAAATCTCGAAAAATCGTGAAATCGAAAAATCGAACTACCAAAAAATAGAAGAATCTAAATTTAAAAAGAAAAATCTAAAATTTGAAAATGGGACAAATTGGAAAATAACAAAATGGACGCACTGAAAAATCGGGACATCGAAACATGAAAAAATCCAAAATTTGAAGAATCAAAAATGTAAAAAATCTGGAAATCAAAGAGAAAAATCGAAAAATTGAATCGAAATATCAAAAAATTCCTAAACTGAATTATTGAAAAATTAATAAACAAATCAATAAATTGAAAAAATTGAAAAAAACTAAGAAAAATTGAAGAACCGAAAAAGACTGTAAAATCCTAAAAGTCAAAAATCGAGGAATTGAGAATTCGAAAATTTGAAAAAATTAAAAAACGAGAAAATCAAAAACCTGAAAAACCCTTAAAAATAGCATATTATGTATATACTTTTTTTATATTTCTAATAATTAACGAAATATGGAGGAACGCGCGACATGAAGACACCCTGTAATTACTTATACAGGGTGACTAAAAAAAAAATAATGAATAAGCTGGTCTATTTTATTGATCAAGAACGGCTGACTCTATTTTTCTGAAAATTTTGTACGAGTATCTTTAGCCAATTTTTTAAATAAAATCTGTACATGCTCGCTGCGCTCGCATTCTAAATATTCTTTTTTTGAAGTTTATTCTTAAAATTTTGACGAAAGTGTCTTAACTTGTCTGGATTCAACTGTAATAACAAATCTCTAGATTTAAAAATACACACTTTAATAATCGTAATTTTTTGTTAATAATAATATAGCTACTCAGGGACAACCGTGAACTTTTTTTAATAATACCCGAACACGCTCGCTGCGCTCGCATTCTAAGCGTTCTTTTTTTACAATTTAGTTTCATAAAAGTGATTAAAACAGAATCTCAGTAAAGCTATGTAGGTTTTGTAGTTAATACTAATAAATCTTTAAACTTATTACTTTTAAAAAACAAATATTTAAAGGGCGAGCGTAGCGAGCATGCACAGGTTGCTGGGATCTCCGAATTTTCATTTTCAAGATTCATTTTTCTTAGACTCTAAAAAATTCTCTCAATAATAATAATAAAGCATTTACGAATGAACGGTCAACTAGGCTACTTAGTTTTTGTTATAATAGTTCTCGATATTTCCGCATGAAGGTAGAAATTAAAGGCGAGCGCAGCGAGCAAATTCAGGATATTTCAGTCCCATAGACATTAGTAATTACAATCTTTAAACTCATATTTTTAACGAACAACGCATCGCTGCGCTCGCATTTTAAACTGCAATGAGCCCATCTAAGTTGATCGAATCTTATTTTTATGTCAATGCCAAAATTGGTCTTATTTTAGCGGTTATTAGCCCCGCCCACCCACCCTCTCTTTTCTTGGAAGGTATGTCATTTGCCAAAATCAGTTTTATCTTAGCAAATACTAGCCCCGCCCACCCACCCTCTCTTTTCTTAGAAGGTATCTCATTTGCCAAAATCAGTCTTATCTTGGCAGCTACTAGCCCCGCCCACCCACCCTTGTTTTCTTAGGGGGTATGTTATTTGCCAAAATTAGGTTTTTCTTAGCAAGAGTTGATGACTAATTTTTACAAAAAATGATCAAAATTTGGAAACATTACGAGTTAATTTATAAATGTCTTATTATTATTTTTTTTTGGTTTATTTATTAATCAAAAATAACAGTTTATTTTTTTGGGACCCCCGAAACCTCCCGGTATAGCTCCCAACAAGAAAATTGAAAAAAAAAAAAATTCAAAAATGTAAATTATCTTTTGAAATTGCATATAGTCTCTAAACTTAAAACAACGGCGTCTGCAGAATTTTAAATTAACACAACTTCGAAATTCAAACTTTGAATCAAATGTGGTTTTTTCCCCCAGGTCCGACACAACCTCTCCCTCAACGAGTGCTTCATCAAGCTACCCAAGGGCCTGGGCCGGCCCGGCAAGGGCCACTACTGGACCATCGACCCCGCCAGCGAGTTCATGTTCGAGGAGGGCTCGTTCCGGCGCCGCCCCCGCGGCTTCCGCCGGAAATGCCAGGCCATGAAGCCCCAGTACCACCCGGGCAACTTCTTCGGCAACAACATGACCGGCATGGTCAACCAGCCCGCCGCCTACGAGCACCAGACTCTCGTCCAGCCCCAGGAGTACTCCACGTGCTCGTACAACACCTCCTCGCCGCAGGTGTCGTCTGTCTCCGGCACCCACTACTCCAACTACGACTACCCCGTCTACCAGCAGCAGTGCGACCGGGACTGGAGCTCGTCGGCGCTGCTGCCGCCGTACCCGGACGCCGCCATCTCCAGCTCGTACATCAAGGCGCCGATCAGTCCCATGGGGGAGAACCAGGAGACGCCGCCGCCGGTCATCGCCGACACGTACAATTATCAGTATGGGGGGATTTCGACGTCGTCTGCAGATAATTGTAAGTTGCTGTGTTGGTCGTTGGTTTGATGTAGCTAGTATTTTATTTAAAATTTGTGATACCTAATGTTTAGATAAACAGTTTATGAAGCGTCCGACTGAGTTTGTTATTGTTAAAGTGTAACGTCAAAATAAAGCGGCGGTTCGATATCTTATTCGTAAATCTCGCACTGACAACATTAAATTAGAAGTAGAATCAGTAAACACAAATTAGATACAGTATTGTTTTATTTTTAGCCAAAATAAAAATTGCCCAATTTGTATATTTGTGTATTTTTTTTTCGTATTTCATTAAGTTAAAAAATTAAATAAAGACCACACGATTCTTAATTAATTTTTCAAAAAAAAATTGTTTGAAACTAAGTCAAAATTAGGTGTTTTAAATTTTTTATTGTTTTTTGATATTTTTCTGCATTATAATATTTTTTTTTGGTGCACATTTAGAAAAACAATCAAAAGAACCTGAATAATTGAAACAATTTTCAATTTTCAAACAATTTTTCGAAAATCATTTTGAAATAAATTTAATTTGCGTCTCAGTTAAGTTTGCCTGGAATTGTGAAACTTACACAGAAGCTGACATTTTGTCTATAGGAAGAATTTTAAAAATTAGAGAAAATAATTTGACGTAATTTAAATAAAAGAAGGAAGAGCTTCACTGTTTAAATTTAGTCTGCACGCATTTTAAAATCCCAATATTTATTCTTATCGGTGCTGTGACCGCACAAACCCGATAACAAAAGTGCGAACAGATACCTCGTGCCAGCACGTCAAAAAGGCGCCTCACCCTTCCACTTTCGCCGTCCCTGATGGCGCTTGTGCCTATTTTCTTAGTAACAGGAGCTAGACGTTTTACAAGGCAGATGACAAGGCTTTGACATTGCTGGCAAACGCATGTGCGTCGCGTTGTGGGTGGGCTCAAACCGTGCCAAAATATTTGGAAGCCGGGCCTAGTATCACTGGTCTTAATTTATTGTCTCTATCCCCGACTTATAACCCTTTAAAACCCATCACCAGGTTTACGATAGAACCCGGATGTCGCAATCTGGGGAAAATGCCGATGTCCGGCCAGCGCAACATCTGGATCTTCGTCGACCACAATTTGGTCGTAATTAATGTTGACATTTTAGATGGACGGAGTTTGAAGGATCAGCGTGAAGTCTGGAATGTTTTTGCTCGTGCTGGCCTTGGTTGAGTCAGATCGTAAAGTTTTACTAGTCGAGAGGAGATTTTTAGGTGGATAATAGCGACTGTGGATGTTTGTGCTGCATTTTTCGAACAAATTAGTTAATTTACCATGTGACATTGGTACAAGATCTAAAAGAAGAAGACTTTCCCAGAAGAATACAATTTTGCAATTTTACGCAACATCAACTAGAGTTGGACAGGAATTTTTTATTCAAAGTTTTGTTCAGCGATGAATCAAGATTTGGCAATAACGGGGTTGTTAATCGGCACAACTGTCACTATTACTCCCAAAATAACCTACACTGGATCAGAACAGCTCATTTTCAAAATGTTTATTCCATAAATGTGTAGACAGATTACGTAATTGGCCCATACTTCTTCGAAGACAACTTAACAGGACACAAATATCGACAATTTTTCGAAAATGATTTTCCGGGGTTATTAGAAAATGTTCCTCTCAACCTCCGACAAGAGCTGTGGTTTCAGCAGGACGGGGCACCACCTCATTATCACAGAGTCGTTAGGGACTATCTTGATAGACGTTTGCAACTAAGTGGATTGGCAGAGGCAGTGTGAATGCATGGCCCCCTCGTAGTCCCGACTAACACCTTTAGATTTCTTCCTCTGGGGGGTTGTAAAAGAACAAGTTTACCAAAGTCCTATTCGTAATTATGAAGATTTAAAAACCAGAATTAGGAATGCATGTGTTGCAATAACTCCTGAAACACTTGCCAGCGTCCGGTTGTCTTGCTTAAATCCCATCGAAATGTGTGTAAATTTATTTAATTGTCCAATTTATTTGTTACTTTTCTTTGAATTAATATGTTGGTGTTTTTTTAATATTTGATTTGTGAAATTTTGATTGACGTCTTTCAGAAACAGTGACAACTAGTAATAAGAGGACCTACGTTGATCCTAAAAACGTATGTGTTTATTTTGGAATCTAGCAATAACTGAGAGTATGTTGTGTTGCATTGAAAATTGGTCAGGGTCCCGTTATTATAATACACACCCTGTATACTGAAACTGAACTTTTGGAAAAGTTGTTTAAAAACCTATAAAATAAATCTAGGATATTGATCTGGACAAGCTGAATCGAAAAATATAGCGTCTTTATTGTTCCGGAGTAAGATTTTAGAAATATCCACTTTGAAAGTATTTTTCCAGAATTTAAAAACTGCCGCATTTCAAAAGAGATATTCTGGAAAAACAACAAGCATTTTCCAAGAACTGAAGCGAAAAATAAGTTCCGGAGGACAAAATCTAAAAAAGAATCAAAAGAGGCCGAAAATTTCATTTTTGAAAAATTGATCTTTTGAAAAAGTTGCCTAAAAAGCGACAAAATAAATCTGAAATGGACTTCAATATGCTGAATCGAAAAACATACTGTTTATATGGTTCCGGAGCGAGATTTTCGAAATATTCCGCTTGAAAGTAAATTTTTTTAAATCCTTGAAACCGCGATATTTTAAAAGAGGAATTTTGCAAAAATGGTAGAAATTTTCGAAAACTGAAGCCGAAAGTAACTTCTAGGGATCGAAATTTACAAAAAATCCCTTTGGGTAACTTTCTAAGGTGGTGACGAAAGTCAAAAATGTCGTAAGGAAATTTAAAACTTCAGCTGTTGGAAAAGTTGCCTAAAAAATACTAAAAATCCAAAAAAAATCTGGGATGTACCTAGATTTCGACTTCTTGATTCGAAAATATAGCGTTTATCGTTCGGATGCAAGATTTTTGAAATATTTGATTTGAAAGACAAAACCTTTGGAAACACAAAAAATTGGCGTATTTCATTTGGCGATTTTGGTAAAATCCTAGAAAGTGAACCAGAAAATAACTGGAAGTAGAAATCTACAGAAAAAGTCTCATTTATCGAGTACCGAACAATTCCTAAAAGTGCACTAAAAAATCTTGAATATAGATTTCGATGTAGTGATTCGAAAAAATTAGCCTATGTGCGGTTTCTGAGCAAGATTTTCACAATATTCAATTTGGAAATACAATTTTTTTTCAATCCTTAAAATTGTCATATTTCAGAAGAGGGATCTGAAAAGATGATACAAATTTTCGAAGGACTAAAGCTGAAAATAACTTCCGGATATCTAAAATAATGTAACAAAAAAGTATTCTAAAAATACACAAAATATTCGGGAATGTAGATCTCGACGTACGTATTGATCCGAAAAATATAGCACATATTTGGTATAAGGGTTTTGCAGTTAAGCTCCGCCCCCTTGGCTCACGACGAATTAGAAAAGATCATTACAATTGAAACAGGGTGGGTGGGTGGGGCTACTTTTGCTCGACACATCGAAAAATCCAGAAGTCAAAAATGGAAAAGTCGAAGAACAGAAATATTGAAAAATCCCAAAACTGAAATTTCCAAAAACTGAGAATCTAGAGAATCGAAAAATTGAGATATCAAAAAATTAAAAAAGTGAAGTTGAAATTGAAAAATCAAAAACCTGCAAAATCGCAAATTGAAAAATTGATTGTGATTGTATGTGTAATTATTGCAACATCAAGGTAGAAGTCCTTATGAGAACATACTAATTTTCGCTATTTCGTTTATTAAGTTATTTTAGATTGCACACCAAATATAATAGATAAATTAATAAACAGATAGATTGGTATTTTACGTAACGTTTTGTTTTCTTTGAGATCTACATTTATTTTATAATTTTATTTAATCAGCGATCCTAATCTTTATTTTAGGAATATTATTTTTGCAGTTTTTGTCCAAAAATAAACGAAATGTTTTTCTGTTAAGGTTCTTAAAAATCGAAGTCGAAATATCAAAAATTGGGGAATCGAAAACACAAAAAACTGAAAGGCGGAAAATTCCAAGCATAGAATTTCGAAACGAAAATTTGAAAAATCGAGCAACTGAAAATTTAAAAACTCAGAAATTCAAAAACCGAAAAGTTGAAAAATTGGAGATTCGAAAAAACGAAACCAAAAATGGAAAAATGCAAAAATCTTAAAGTCCCCGATCGACACACTGAAATATTTGATAATTGTAAAATCGAAAATAGAAACAAATTGAAAAATTTAAGTCGAAAAATCGGAAAAGCCAAAAATCGAACATTTGATGTATCAAAAACCGAGATATATAGAGTCGAAGAATCGAGAACTTAAAATATTTGAGAATTGCAAAACCGAAAACACCAAAAATCGAAAGATCGAATAATCTAAATTTCCACAAATCGAGATACTGAAAAATCGGAAAGTCGAAAAATTTAAATAACGAAAAATCGAATTACCGAAAAGTTAGTCGCTTTTTAGGCAACTTTTTCAATAGATCAATTTTTCAATAATGAAATTTTCTGCCTTTTTGATTCTATTTTAGATTTTGTCCTCTGGAATTTATTTTTCACTTCAGTTCTTCGAAAATGCCTGTTGTTTTTCCAGAATCTCTCTTCTGAAATGCGACAGGTTTTAAATTCTGGAAAAATACTTTCAATCTGGATATTTCGAAAATTTTACTCCGGAACAATAAAGATTCAGCTTCGAAAAATCGAGAACTTAAAATATTTGAAAATTGCAAAACCGAAAACACCAAAAATCCAGAAACTGAAAAGTCGAACAACTCAAAAATCGAAATATTGAAACGTCGAAAAATCCAGAAATTTAAATATTTAAAAAGATTAGTAGACGAATTTACTATTTTAGACATCTTTAAGTTGCTTGTTGCCGGAAAAAAAAAACAAAATATAACCCCGCCCACCCACCCCGTCTCAATTGTGATGATCTTTTTTTAATCGTTGCGAGCCAAGGGGGCGGAGCTTAAACTTCTCTACGAGAAATATAAATATGCTTTTGCATATCGTGTTATTAAAAAAATACTATGTAAATATATTAAGAAAAAAATAAACCCAAAGATAAAACTAAATAGTAATGAAGTTTTCATTCGTTGGCAGAACCAGGGGCGGAGCCTTATTGCAAAATCCATATTTTCTCACAAAATTTACCATTTTAAACGTGCTTTGAGTTTCTAAGAATAAAAAGATCATCATAATTGAGATGGGGTGGGTGGGCGGGGTTTATATTTTGCCTTTTTTCTTAATATACGCAGTATTCCTTGAACAACACGATACTCAAAAACACGTTTTTAATTTCTTGAACAGAAATAAGTATTTTGCAGTTAAGCTCCGCCCTCTTGGTTCACGGCGAATAAAAAAATTCATCACGATTGCGACAGGGCGGGTGGGCGGGCTTACATTTTGCCTTTTTGTTTTAATATGTGTAGATTTCTTTTCATAACATGAAACTTAAAATATGTTTAAAATGGAAAATTTGTATAAGGAAATATGGATTTTGCAATTGGGCTCCGCCCGATAATTGCAAAATCCATATTTCCTTGCAAAAATGTACCATTTAGACACATTTTAAGTTTCTTGTTGCCGAAATAAGTTTCCACATATTAAGAAAGCTCTTCCATATTTCAATTTTTCAAATGTTTCGATCCCATAATCTTTCGATTTTTCGACTTCCCGGTTTTAGATTTTCTGTTTTCAATTGTCGTTTTTTCAATTTTCGATTTTTAAGTTTTAGATTTTGAAGTTTTTCGATATTTTAATTTTCAATATTTAAAATTTTAGATTTTTCGATATCTCGATTTTTCATTTCAGTTCTTCGATATTTCCGTTTTTCGTGTTTTCGAATTTTTCAAATGTTCTGATTTCTTAATCTATCGATTTTCCGACTTCCCGGTTTTAGATTTTCTGTTTTTCAATTGTCGTTTTCTTTCATTTTTCAGTTTTGGGATTTTTCAATATTTCGATTCTTCGACTTTTCGATTTTTGACTCCTGGATTTTTCGATGTGTTGATTATTTTACTTTTTCGATTTTTAAATTTTTCGATGTTTAAATTTAAGTTTTTTTAATTTTTAAAATTTTAGATTTTTCGATTTCTAGATTTTTCAGTTCAGTTCTTCGATATTTGAATTTTTTAAGTTTTCGAATTTTTCAAATGTTTCGATTTCTTAATCTTTTGATTTTTCGACTTCCCGGTTTTAGATTTTCTGTTTATCATTTATTAAAAATCGTAAAACTGCAAAATTACAAAATTGAAATTTCCAGAATGGCAAACTCGAAAAACTTCAGAATCGTACAATTAAAACATAAATACGCTAAAAAATTGGGAAACTGAAAAATCGGATAACTGAAATTAAATATGTAATTGAGAAATTTAAAAATTTTCGGATCGAAAAAATGGTAAATTTGAAACATCAACCACGAAAAATGCAAAATTTAAAAATGGAAAAATCTGGAGAGTGCAAAATGACAAAAATTGAAAAATCGAGAATTTCGAGGATCTGATAATTAAAAATCAAACTGAAAAATCAAAAAACTGCAAAATTACAAAATTGAAAAATTGATTAAATGAAAAATCAAAAACTTGAAAGATTGAAAGTCGAAATTCTGAAAAACTAAAAGACAAAAAATGAAAAATATGGAGCGATTGACAAATCTAAAATTGAGTAGTTGAAAAATCAAAAATTGAATTCAAAAACGAAATATAATAAAGAAGGGAGAATTGCAAATTTGAACGAATAGTTAAGACATCCAAAATTTGTAAAACTGTAAAAATTGCAAAATATAAAAATTGAGAAATCGTGAATTTGAAAAATCTTGTAATTGAAAAGTTGATTCATAAAAATCAGCAAAATTACAAAATTGGAATTGAATTATGAAATTGAAAATAGAAATTTTGAAAAATTAGAGATCAAAAAATTGAAACTTTGAAACATCGAAAAATTGGATCCTTTATAGACGAAAAATTTTAAAATAATTAAACCGAAAAATCAAAAACTTGAAAAATTAAAATTGAAATTTTTAGCAATTGAGAATTAAAACATTTAAAAGACTAAAAATTGAGAAATTGAATAATTGTGAAATGGAAAAATTATTAATTTGTGGAAATGAAAAATTGTGAAGTTATAAATTTGAAAAATCGAATAAGGAGAAAATCGAAAAATTGCAAAATCTAAATATTTTGTAATCTAAAAAAAAAAATTCAAGTATCATATAGGTAATTGAAAAAATTCTAAAATTGAAATATCAAATAATTGCAAAAATTGAAAAGTCAAAAGATTCCAAAATCCAAAAATTGAAAAATCGAGAATTTGGAAAATCTTGTAATTGAAAAGTTGATTCATAAAAATCGTCAAAATTACAAAATTGGAATTGAATTATGAAATTGAAAAACTGACAATAGAAATTTTGAAAAATTAGAGATCAAAAAATTGAAACATTGAAAAATTGGATCCTTTATATACGAAAAATTTTAAAATAATTAAACTGAAAAATCAAAAACTTGAAAAATTAAAATTGAAATTTTTAGCAATTGAGAATTAAAACATTTAAAAGACTAAAAATTGAGAAATTGAATAATTGTGAAATCGAAAAATTATTAAATTGTGGAAATGAAAAATTGTGAAGTTATAAATTTGAAAAATCGAATAAGGAGAAAATCGAAGAATTGCAAAATCTAAATATTTTGAAATCTAAAAAAGAAATTCAAATATCATATAGGTAATTGAAAAAATTCTAAAACTGGACCCTATATGGCCTATCCAAGCTTTGAGATTTTTTTTAATTCTTTTAAGAACTTGAAATGGAAGAGTAATGGTGGGACTTGAAAGAGGTTACATTTTTGTACATAATTAATATAAATAGAAATAAATAGAATTCGCTCTTTATTAATTAGCGTTTAAAAATTTTGCCAAGTCTGTTTTATTTACGAATGTTTTCCTTGTTTCAGTGATGCGATCCTCCTCCACCAACAGCATGCAGCCCATCCAGTGCGACCGAAAGCCCTACTTGAGTTCGCCGCCGCCGTCGATTCCATCTTCTCTTCCATCACCACCAGCAGCCAACACAGCGCACTCATTTTATGAACCTTCAGTAAAGTACAGCTTATAAATTCAGTATTTATGGTTTCGTTTAAGTGGACATTTGTACTCGTCGTTCATCCGCCGAGCCAAATCTTTGTCGTTATTTTTCTCTTTCGAGATATGAGCAGACGGACGTTGTTTTTTCAACAAACGCGAACTATGTACGAGTACGTCGAACAGCTTTGGATCGAAAGCAGCTCAAATTTATTTTTACTGTTAGTTCTGTAGGTAGGTGAATCATACTTAATTGTAAATATATTTATTTGTAGGACGTAGTGGTATTTTTAAGACATAGAGTATGCTACTTTGACGTGTAAATACCACCATACAGCTACTTACCAAAAATTGTGTACATAAAACATTATTTTGTAATTTATAGTAAAATAAAAAAAATCCGCTCTGAGGTTTTGTTTGATTTCGACACGGTTTTTGATTAATTAAAGATGCGCATTTAGAAATTATTTTAAATGGATTTTGGCTTTATTGTGTGTTAATTTTTTTTACATTTTTCGTAATTGGATTTTTAGCTTTATGGCGCGTAAATGCGTCGAGCTATTTTAAAAACTTTAATGGATTATTAAAATTTTCAGACATAACTTTTTAGTATTTTAAATATCTTCTACTCAAAAATGTCACGATCAAAGAGCGCAAATTCCCTTTAAGGATTTGAAGAGATAGGTAGGTAAACATAATTTAATTCGTGATTAAATTTCAAATGGATCGCCTTTTTACACTGTCTGATATTTTTAAACGATAAAAGTTTGAATAATTTTGAAAATTCGTAGATGATCACGAGAGAGCGGATTTATAAGCACAAAAAAAATAAATGTTATATAAATTAAAAAAAAGGAACAGTGTACCTTTGGTTTATGAATCCGTGTTGAATTTTTATCTTCAACATCGAAATTTTTGTGGAAAAATAAAACAAAATTGAATTACAATTTTTCGATTTCTTGATTTCTCGATTTTTAGTTTACTTAATTTTTCGATATTTCAGTTTTACAATTTTTCAATTTTTGCCTTTTTTAAATTTTCATTTTTACATTTGTTAATTTCTCTATTAATCAATTCTTTGATTTTTTTGATTTTTCCTCTTTCCAATTTATCGATTTTTGAAGTTTTCGTTGTTCCAATTTTGGGATTTTTCAATATCTGCAATTTTTTAATTTAAAATTTTTCACTTTTTTGATATTTCGATTTTTCAATGTTTCGATTTTTAGAATTTCTGATTTTTCGAATTTTGAATATTTTGATTTATCGTTTTTTTACGTTTAAATATGTATTTCAGTTTTAAATTTTCCGGTTTTTCGATTTCGGGCTATTTCGATTTCTCCATTTCTCGGATCTTTTGATGTCACAATTTTTTAATTTCGATTTCTCGGCTTTTCCATTTTTCAATTTTTTATTTCTTCAAGTTTTTAGATTTTTAAAATTCTCCATTTTTCGATTTTATGTTTTGTTTGCTTCGATCTCCCGATTTTAACCTTTTTAACGTGTATTCCAATTTTTCGATTTTGGAATTTTAGATTTCTGACATCTCGATTTTTCGTTTTTTCGATTTTAAAATGTTTTTACTTTTCGTTCTTTTTTTCGATTTCTGGATTTTTCAAGTTTTCGATTTCTCAATTTTTCAACATTTAAATTTTGATTTTTCGACTTACCGGAAATCGATTTTTGGGTTTTTCAATTTTTCGACTTTTCAGTTTTGAGATTTTTCAATTTGTCGATTTTTTAGTTTTTCATTTCTTCAATTTTTCGGTTTTTCAAGTTTTCGAATTTTTAAATTTAAAATTTTTCAATTTTCCGATTTTATTTTTTTCACGTTCCCATTTCCCGATTTTAATTTTTTTTATGCTTTTCAATCTTTAGTTTTTCTAAATTTTCATTTTTCCATTTCTCAATTTCTCGATTTTTCGACTTTTTAATTTTGTGGTTTTTTTTAATGTTAAATTTTTCGTTATTGTAATTTTTCTATTTTTTAAATTTTAGATATTTAGATTTTTCGACATCTTGAATTCTCGATCTTTTTTCAGTTTGAATTCCTCGGTTTTTCGATTTTCCAAAATTTCCATTTTTCAATCTTTCGACTTTTCAGTTTTGAAAATTTTCGATTTCTCGATTTTTCAGTTTTTGATTTTCCAACTTTTAGATGTTTCAAATTTTAGGGTTTGCAAATTTCACGAGTTTTCAGTTTTTAATTTCGTCAATTTTTCTATTTGTAATTTTTCGTGTGGGTTTTTAATTTTCTTTATTTTTTCAATTTTCGTCTTTCAATTTCCCGTTTCTTTAATTTTTCATTTGCAGTTTTTCTAGTTTTCATTTTAATTATGTAACACTCCTAATAATAATTATACTTTTTAAAGTTGTGTTTGAATGTCACAGTTTTTGGACTTTACAATTTTCAAGAATCTATAATTTTTCGATTTTACAATTTTTGGATTTTCTTCTTTCCCATTCTACGATTCATTAATTTTTTTTAGACTTTTAAGTTTCTCGGTTTTTAGTTTTTCATTGTTTCAATTTTTCATTTTTTCGAATTTTTAACTTTTCGAATAAACAAAATCGAAAAATTTTAAAATAGAAAAATTGTAACTGAAAAAGTACAAAATAAAAGCTTCGAAAAATAAAAAAATTGGAAATTAAGAACTTAAAAAATCAAAGATTGAAAATATAAAAAATTGAATAAACAAAAAATTATAAAATCCAAAGAAACATTGAAAGAATAAAGGTAATGGAAAAATGAAAAATTGTGATATAAAATCAAGAAAATGAAAATTACAAAGTCGGGAAAATGAAAATATCGAAAATCCAAACAATATAGAAATTGAAAAATTCCCAAAATTGCGATGTTGAAAAATTGAGATAGCCAAAAATTTAAAAATCGGGAAATAGAAAAATTTTTAAAATTGAAAAATTGAGATATGAGAAATCGAAAATTCCAAAAATGGAAAAATTGAAACACATTAAAAAATAAAAATCGGGAAATCGAAACATAAAGATTATAAAAGCGAAAAATGGAAAATTTAAAAATCGAAAATTTAAAATATATACTAGAAAAATCGAAAATTTTGAAAATCGAAAAACCAAGAAATCGAAATCGAAAACTTGAGGTTTCAAAAGATCCAGAAATCGAAATAGGCCGAAATCGGAAAATTCAAAAGTGAAATATTTACTTAAAAAAAGATAAACGGAAAAATCGAAAAACTAAAAAAGTCGATAAACCTAGATATGAGACAGAAAATTCCAAAAATCGAAATATTGAAATACAGATTAAAAAATTTAAAAAATCGAAGTTAAAAAATCGTAAAAACAAATTCGATTTTTTCAATTTTTTTCAATTTTTTAATTTTCCGATTTTTCAATTTTTCGAATTTTCTACTTTCCGAATAAACAAAATGGAAAAGCTATAAAATAGAAAAATTGTAAAATTGACTCAAAATGAAAAAACGCAAACGTATAAAATGAAAGCTTCGAGAAATCTAAAAACTTGAGAAATTGAAGAAACGGAAAATTCAAAAATCGGAAGATCGAAAAATTGCGGTCGAAAACACGAAAATTATTGTAAAATCTAAATATGTATTGAAATTTGGAAAATCGAGGAATTGAAAATGTGAAAAATTGAATAAACAAAAAATTGTGATATAAAATCCAGAAAATGAAAATTAAAAAATTGGGAAAATGATATGAAAAAACTGAAGAACTTGAAACAACATCATTACGCCGAAGTGCTTACATTTTTCACAAAAAGCATTAATTAAACCTAGAAATCCGCTCTCTAATGATCACATTTAAGCTACTTAGATAAAATTAAATAAATTTTGGTTGTATGTTTTTTGAACACGAATCTTCAAAATTTTTGCTTGTTTCGGATTCGTACGAATTCAGATTTTTCAAACCACGATATTTCATAAAAAAAAATCTTGGTACCTCAGTCGGGATTGTTGCGCTGTTTAATCACCTCACACTCTCATTTTAACCCGGCCCTGCCCATTAATTGAGTAACGTTTTTAAGCAATTTCACCAGCTGTAAACCATCCAGACAAGGACTGCCGAGGCATAAAAATCACATAAACCCCATGAAATCATTCATTTTGTTACGTAATTAAATTTCCATCACATCTGCGATGATTTGCCAGTTTTAATTAAATGTACGAGCTTTTTGTCGGATTTCTTCCAGCGTCCGCCAGTAAACATTCGAACTCGATCATACAAATCTTTCCTCTGGTGATAAATTACGCGTTTCTTAACGTATTATGGAAGCAGGAGTGCCCTTCAGCTTTATCTCAAGTGGTCATACTTCCTTCGGTAAATTATTAGGCAACTTTTAACCCACTTGTGGCGATGTGGCACACTTAGATCGGGGCTTGGACGAGATCAAGAGCAACCCTTATCTCGGTTTCGAACAATTTGGGGAGTGTTCGTTGCGTTGGTTTTCTGCGTTCGCTCTGGCGAGGTGCCTACGTGCCGGACGTCACCGGAAACAAAGATTTCCGGGAAGCTTTTGAGACGAATAGTCTAGCAATATTTGTTACATCATTTATTAAAAATAGAGCTATGTGTAAGCGTTATATACTTCCGCAAAACAATGTTTTATAAAAATACACTCGGTGGTTAAGACTATGGTTTTAGCAGAAAAGACGGCTGCGTTTCCGAATAGGTTTCGTAACATTTTGTTAAGCTGGTAAATGGCTATAAATATGCACATGAGTTATCAGCGCTGTTATGACTGGGAACGAGTGTTTACAGAATTTTTTCGCTTTTTCAAGTGTGCTTTAAACAAATGATTGAGTTTGAATTTTTAGATGCTAGAGCGAACAAGAAACGTTCTTTTAAAATAACTTCATTTTTATAAAAATAATAATAATAATAATATTTACTGATTTCAACAGAAAGAAATCTCAAAAAGTAACCTTAAACATAATTTTATAACACTATTCTACAATGTTTAGCAAGTTACCAGAGATAAAATTAATGAATCATTATGGTAATCACAGTTATTAGAAATACAATTAAATAAACCGCACGTTAAATTAATTGGAGATCTATCCAGAGAATTAGCGCTAGCAGAGTTAATATAAAAAGAAATATGTTGGTGAGTATTTTGTCGTGGTACACGAAAATTTATTTTACCCAAGAGCACAAAACAGTCAGTTCTATTATGAAGAAAATTATATAAGAATTTTAAAAATTTTCTTTGTACAGCCTCAATCTCCTTGCGATGGACTGCGTAGATGGGGTACCGAATAACTGCTGCGTACTCCAGTCTTAATCTCACCAAAGAAAAAAATAATATGATAAGAGTTCGCATAATTATTTTTTATTGTCAAACTGCATCATTTTTTATAAATTATTCTTTTCAGAGGTATAATTTCCAAAGTGTAAAGTGAGAGTATGTACCCCAAA